GTATGACTAAGGCAAAATGGCCCGAACGGTAAAATTGGACCACCACAGCCATTAACATGTGTACGCACATGCACCATTGTAAATTTTGAAGATGGCATTAAAAAATAAATCATTTGCACCAGTTTTAAAAGTTGATAAATGAGATGTGCCAGGCAACCAAGCCCGCAATGTGTATTTGATTTATTGGCTGGCCGATATGATTAACATTAATGGAAAATATTGCCAAATGCTACTCTTCCGCGTGTGCTTTGCACTGTGTTTTGTATCCCTTCCTTTTTACTATTGTTTTTCCTGCACCACCGTTAAGATGAGTTATCAACTTGCCTAGCAGCCCGTGCTTCGCAAGCATGGTACTCATAACTCTCCTACAAAGTGAAAACACAGCCTAGTGCAATCCGCCAGAATGCAGCGGAATGCAGGTTGTAATGCCACTATACTCAACAACTGCAACAACGAACCTCTGAAAGCAGCGCTCAATTTTTGGCACAGCCCTAACTCCATTCGAAGTAATTTTACAATTTCGCACAGCTTGGCACAGCAAGTTGAAAATGTCGCACTCCGGCACAATTAGCCCAAATATACTGTTGATGGATGAATAATGTTCTAAAAAGTATCCGAGGTGAGATTGTACAATACTAAATGAATGCAAAGGCAGCACTTATCAATGCAGTGGTTTGTGGCAAAGCATGGCCCCTGAACTTTAATCGAAGCGCAGGATTCTTGCACTTCCCTCACATGTGAATGATGTTATCTCCGCCTATCTTACCACGTGGCATGTTCTAAGAGCAGTTTTCTTTTTTTTCCAGTCATCTCTCAGCTTGTACCAGCAAGAAGCTTATAAGAAAGGAAATTATCACACGAACTAGATGAACTCCATTTGCGCTGCATTATTATCCCCAATTCTAACAAAAATAGCCAATTTTTTTTTAATCATAGACTTTTCATGTGTCTCTGTTCCTCTGCACAAATGAATTTGCTCATACTTCAACTACTTGACTTGACGAGTGCCACCATCTACACTAGGGCGGTAAAGCACCGAGACAAAGCCGTCGACTGCAAAACACAAAAAGAAAAAGTATCACAGATGAGCTCCTTTGATAGGAAAAGAGGAGACGCTTACCATTTGTAGGCCTGGTGTCACGTTTGCTCCTGACCAGAGCAGCAGTGACACATGTTGCACCAACCTGGATGTCGGCTGACTCGAGCGCTGCTGCCACGGCCTTCACCTTCTTGGTAAGCCAGGCAATGCACTTAGACTCATTGTAGCGGTACACTCGGTCCTCACCCAGCTCTGCATTTGTACAAGCACACATGGGTCAGCCAGACAGAAAATTAGGTAAAAGTGGCAATGATTCACTGTCTTATGTTGGATCTTTTTTTAAATGAAACTTGCTTGATTTTCTGTGGCCTTTTGAGGCCCTATATAATAGGGAAACACAGACAAAAAGTTTGACAAAATTGAAAATTCCACAATTGAAAGGGTCAATTTTTTTCGTGTGTGTGAACTGAACTGCCTCTCCATGTAAGGTATCGTAAATGAGATACCTTGCATAAAGCCTGATGTCAGAAGTTTGTATTTTTACAGAATGTACCTAATACATCTTCGAGGCCAAGCAAACATGGAAATTCTTGACTGATTCAATACTGCAAATTAAGGCAATATAAAGGGCAAGCATACCTTTGATGTCCGCAACGTGTCGCAAACGGCTGCTGCAGGAATTAATGACACTCAGAAGGTTAGGATACAAGTTGTCCTCCACAAAGTCCTCCAGTGGCCGAAACTTGTTACTCTGTCACAAAAGAGCATGGGTAAATAAGGATGACAAAATAGGTGCAAGTCATTCGTAACAGAAAAACCCCTTTTAGAAAGAAAACATCCTTCCAGAAATAATGCGTACTTACAGCTGTTTGAAGTGTAGTGAAAGCGAACCTAACACAATGTTAAAATCTAGTGGTTGAAACAGATACTCTGCACCCATTCTGCCTGGCAAACTATGCCCCCAATGGCGTTATGGGCTATGGCCCCCTAATGAAACAGAGGGAGGAAAATCATAAATTAAGTATACACTATTTCTGAAGTGGCAGAAGTGGCTCATATGTATTAGTTGAAATAACAATAAAAAACCTTCAAAACATGATAAACAATATGTGAAAATGGTATTACAAGTGCGAAATATATTTGACGGTTACCTTTTGTAAGACTGCTTATGCTGCCTATGTTAAAGGGGCCCTGAAACACTTTTTTGAGTAACCATGGAATGAATTCACTGGAAAAGCGTATTGCCTCACAAGTTCAATGCCGTAAAAATATTAAGAATCCGTCCAGTATGAGCGGAGTTACAAAGATTTGTCACACACTGCAATTGCATTTTTCTCTTCTCTCATCCCGACGAAAGCGCTGGAAGCTAAGCAGGAAGGGATGGGAGGCTCAAAAACAAAAAAAGTCACGCGCGCCTTGTAACCTTGAGCCCTTTTTTCTTTTCATCGAATTTGTGACTTTTTCGGTAAGATCGTGTGACGACCTTTCGCGGCGATTCTTGTAGCAACCGAGCCCGCCATGTTCAAATCAGCCAATGGCTGATAGATGGGTCATCTACGTGTGATTTTTGGCCATATTCCGTGATTTGTCAAGGGAAGAGAAAGCAATTTTTAGCCGACTTCGATAATTTATTGCGAATTCCAGGCCGCGTGCTGCACCATACCATTTGGCTCGCTTGTTCTCGGGAGCCTCTACTACTGATCGGCAGCGTTTTCTCACCATGCTCAAAAAGTGTTGCAGGACCCCTTTAATAAAACACCAGCTGAGAAAATTAACTGCTTAGCTGTGGTTGTCATACCCTGCAAGCAAGAAAAAAGAAAGAAAAAGCTTTTCTTTAAAGCCAGCAGTACTGGTCACACATTGTGACAGCTATGAAGCTTGACCTCACGGCCGGTGACTCATCGCCTGAAGACTAAAAGTATATATGTAGTTGCTAAGATGTCCCACGAACGATTTATTGCTTGAACACTAATAACGATAATTATGGAAGTTTTACATCCCAAAGCCACAGGATGATTGTGAGGAAAACCGTAGAGAAGGGCTTCATAATTTCCAATCCCATGGAGTTCTTGAAAGTGCACCTCAATCTGTTATTGCTTGATTAGACACTGGTCACTGGGGTGTCAATTAAGGAAGCATGCCAAGCCACTCAAAGCAGTTTTCAGTACAGATAAAAATAAAAGCAGTTATGATAATAAAGTTTCTTAGTTCAATCATCCACTACCACACTAGCACAACAGTTTTCTTGTTATGCCTAGCAACACTCTAAATAGACAGCAATGACGACAACTCTGCTTAGTTATCCATAATACTCAGTCATTGAAGCTGCCTGAAGGCAAGTGAAGCCATTTCATACGATCGTGTGCATAGAATGGAGTGAATTCGGAAGCATCAACACTAAATGCAATTTGAAGCAGACGCCCAAGACCGTCACGTTTCATGAAGGCTATACAAACCACGGAAACATGGCAAAGTCAAATTTTGAACACCGGTGACTATGTTAAAACGCTGTGAGTCATTTAGCATATCGTGCATGTGCGTTTCGAACTTGCTATTTCTTTGGCCCCACTAAACTAAAGCTTCACTTGAGCTAGAGGAGATAACTTGCACTCAATTTTGGATTCAACAAGCCTGTGAGCGTTACAAGAGCCACATGGTCAGCGCATTTAAAAACTCATCATGTATTGATTGGGTGGTTTGCACAGCCACAGTGGCATTGCCAGGTACTAATAAATTTATGGTTAGTGACGTTAGCAAGGAGTTCCGATTTGGAGCAATGCCTGGAGCAGAAAAAAATTTGCATTTTGAAGTACTTAGAAGTAGGTAAAACCTGGAGCAGCTGAGTTTACATATGAGAGTACATTAAAAAAACAGTTGCACTTACACACTGGGTAACTAATACGAACTCTTGTGATGAGCTACACAAGTATCTGGGTCATTGAACTTTCATGGAAAAATGCTTTCCAGAGCACTCATTATTTCACTAGATTATTCAAGAAGGATGTCATGCAATTGAACATCGTAGATATTTGGTGAGCAGCTTTTCTTTCTGAACAAGCTAATAAACGGAATACTACGGTCAATAAAATCATACCTATATATTGAATTACCATTTTGAAAACAAATGTATGGTCCTCACAGTACATGCCTCCTGCATGAATCTATCAACATGATATTAATCAAATATATTTATATTAACAGAACTCACAAACACTGTCACATACAACTGTGCCTCAATACATGAGCATTGGCAGGATTTTGTATGGGTGGACAAGAGGCATCTTTGCATCCCTTTAGGCTGGTATCCATGCCTCAATGCTAAAAATTCATACGGTTCCTTCATATGCGTTTTCCAAAGATCAAAGCTTGCCTCCTTTTCTTCCAAGTCGATTCAACTGAACCTTATGATTGATTATTGAATATTGCCTTAAAGGTCCACTCACCAAGACCTATACCAAATTTTAGTTAGACAGTGGAAGTAGTTGGGTGTCCGATGAGGAACATTTTGCCACAAATATTTTTTGAATCGGTTCATCAGCAGCCGATAAAATGGGTTTTTTGAAGCGGCGCAAAACGAGAATGAGAGGAGGCAACTTCAAAACCTTGCCGCTCCTCCGCGTAGCCTTCGCAAGTTAAATATCTCTCCCACCCTCTCAGGCATCCAACTAAGAGGTCACGTACGCATGACGTCCCCGAACAAGTCCAACACCCGAGCACGCGAGCGGCGTTTCCTTGTTGACCAGCGTTATTTTGTGGTCTTTTGCCTGTTTCTGCGGGATGGTTTGGAAACCCTGGCTTAGACGCGGTAGAATGGATGAGCACAATGAGTGCGCGAACGCGTAGGGCGTTCCACGGCGATCGTCTACTCGATGTGCTGACCGCGGGTATACGAACGCATGCGAAACGCCAACAACATTGGCCCCGCATCTCGTTGCGATTCACAGGAGAAAAATGAAAAAAAGATGCTCACATTTCTTTATTGAATCTAACTATTAGCTAGAGCTTTATTAATTTCTTCAAGCAATAAATTACATAATTTACACATGCCGTGTTAAATAATTTTTGCCATGTGACCGTGCCACTGTTTGCAACATCAGAGCATTGCCGTGTACGTAGGGCCATTCATACGCGCACCTCATCCCCTCATTCTCTGAAAGTGCGCCGTCAGAAGGGAGGGGGAGCAACATTCATCTTGAAATTTGACCGATTTCCCCGGCTCGTAGCGTTGCAAATTCTGGCAGACATGATCATGATCGCCTCGTCTACGCATTGCGCTTGTCAGCTCAAAATTGTCAAACCTAGTGAGTGGCCCTTTAATCACATGGAGTGCGACACATGAAACGAGCTACCAGCAGAATTTCATAAACAGATTATGTCAGCCAATGATGCACCGTACAGCTGATCACCACTCATTGGCCTAGAAGTCCGGAGCCTCTGCGGAAAGCGTGTTTTACCATCAAACCAAAAGAAACCACAAAAGCTGCAGAAGTGGTCTGAAAATTCCTCATGGCGTCATGGCTTAATCCAAACGAATGCATAGGCTGCGCATGCTTCGATGTGGCGGTGGTGGGAGTGTGGTATAGACACACCACGCCTGAGAACCGGGCGTAATTTGGAGCTATTACTGTATATTTTATCAGGAAGGTACAGTAAATCTAATTTGGCACTTTTTTTTTACAGCTGGCCCCATGGTGCAATAGCTATGCTCATAAATGCAGCTTTTGGCATACGAGCAGGAAAACTGCACAAGCTCTGCGGCTGACGGCACTGTCCTACATGGTTGACACTTGCGGCTGATGAATTATGGAAATGGCTTCTTTTGCAACAAACATGTGGGCACCATTCACACACACTTTATGACTCACAATGTGTTATTAACACAATGACGACAGCTTTGACATTACACATGAGGCCCGACTAGCCTTGGGCTACAGTGCAGGCTTAGTGTCATGACTGCCATTTCCGCAGCACGATTGACGCACGATTTTATTTGGGAAAATTTCTAAGCAAACATTGTGCATCAGATGCTTTGCTTGTGTCTAGGCACCACTTTACACATGCAGTGCTAAAAGAGTAGCTGTAGGGTGAGGATGTGCTGCGTTTATCATAGCAAATGTAGGTCAGTGGCTCATGTAGCAGGTACTGTCATAAGTTCCTTATCAAGTGACATGGCCTTCGATATTAAAGATGAAAGATTAAGCTATAAATAATGAAGGTGACACGCAAATTTCGGTGGGGGAATAAAAGGCACCACTTTTTCATTCCACTTGTTATTGTATTTTCTGCCTATTTTACATACAAAGGCTCAAGTATGAATGTGGCTGTAAAGCCACAAACCTAGACTCCAGTATTTGCCTTCAGCACATTTCCAGCCAAGCAATATCAAAGCTACTTATGCTGTCTTCATAATTATCGTTATTCCAATATATATACAGTCCAATCCTTTTATAAGACACTGATGTAAGAGACAAATGGGTATACAAGACATGTCTGTGCCTACCTTGAAACAGGTGTTGGTAAGGAAATGCAAACGTGGTACCCTGCTTGTAAGAGACGTCTCATATTAGATGAGAATTGTTGCCCTGTGCATGTCTCTTATAAGGGGTTAAACTGTATATTAATTTCAACCAGTGTCCTAGCTGTACCATGCATACAATTTCAACACGGCGTTTCTTTATTTTGCAGTTACGTCTTAAATACGGTCGCTCCAAATGTACGAGTACTGAAGAATTCACTTACTCGGAAGAAATCGATGGACTACAGTGCATTAAGTTAGCAATCAGTTATACATAGTGTTCCCATGACCTCGCAGACAGGTTCTTGGTGCTGGGTGCCCAGAGAAGGAAGTGACCTGGACTTTTCATCTCATTAGAGAAGGTCAGTGCAGGGCAGGGCATGCAGTCGCTCGGTCCTCGCATTCTTTTGTGCTTCCCTTCTACTTTTTTCTGTTCGCCAGCTGCACCAAGAGTGAACACAAAAGGAACGCGAGGGGCACCGGCACTAGTCTCATGTTAGTTTCTTGCTCCGCGCATTCGAGTAGGAGGGTACATGGTGTCTCAACCAACAGATACTCAGACATGGCAGCCATGGCAACGTCAGAGCACATTATGTACACAATGACCCCACAAAACTGAACCACAATCATTTACGTTCAAAACATGGATATCTACCTTTTGCAAAAGAGCAACAGCAAAGAACAGGGGATCCATGGGAGTGGCAACATACAGTGACCCATCTGGTCATAGAGAGAACATGTCACACATAGTCCCTGCAACAGTCAAGAATACAGTATGCAATCTTGACACAGAGATATTAGGCACACCTTCAATATTGGCCAAACCACTGAGAGATTGTGAACAAGCGTCATCTGAGAGACAGACAAGAAAATATTTCTGTAGTTCTGCACAGCGCGAACTAAACTTGCCAGTGGAAGGCAAGCCTAAAATACTGAGCAATGCAGGCATTGCGTTGCTTCAAGTTCAAACTTAGTATCACGTAGCTAACCCAAAGTCATGAATTCTATTCTTCACACAAGAAAGTTTTGCAGAGCTCATGGCGCTAGCTTAGACACACTATATTGCCATGGCGTGCCTCATCCACATTGAAAGTGCATGGCAATCATATATCCTGCATTGCCTCTGCTATCACTCTATGAAATCTTGAACACAGTCCAATTTTTCAAGAATAAAAAAATGTGCCCGCCAGCTGCCTTACGCATAAACAACAGGCAGCATTATTCTTACCAGCAAGGGAACACTGAATTGCTTTGAGTAAAAAGAACAAAGCATAGTTATGCACAAATCTCAAAAAAATCATGAAGAGTTGGTTGCACATTATCTGTGTAAAGATATGTTATACCTGGCTCCACAAAGTCTTCAACAATCCAGGATCCACGCTTCTCCTTGAATTTGACTAGCTCTAGGTATTCACCCGAGTCTGCTTTCAGGTACAGTGACGATGTCTCTAAAGGAATAGGTGGAGGATTAGTGTACATCAACTGTGATGCAAACAGCATTTTAGAAATCGTCTTCAACGAGAAAAATATTTATGAAGTGCCACAAACTGACCTAATCTATGAAGGAAAAGATTCCATGCACTTGAGCATGAGTAATTGTGTATAAGATGCCACTAATGAAATTAGCATTGGGACAGGAAAATTGTATGTTATCAGAACAATGCCATCCATTAATACAAGATCAGCCTACAACGTTTTAACAGCACTTCACTATTTAATGTAGCCTGAATAAAAGCTGTTCAGCCGCAGGAAACCAGAATTTATCAAGTAGCTAATAAGAATCGCCAAGGGCAGTATATTAAAACATGATATGCGAATGCATAGGTGTAGTACATGCTGGCTCATTAGCCAGCTGTACTTGTCGTGGTACCGAGCAAAGTCTTGAATACCAATGTCATTGAACAAAAAATGTTACCTGTTTTTGGGTGTGGCAGTGGCACGATACTGTGTGTTTGTTCGTCTTCCGCTGCGTATTTATCTACAAGGGGAAAGAAGGAGCCGTATAATAACTGCATTTTTTTTTTCAACCTGTGCTATTTCGAAGACATGTTAGGTATAAGAAAGGCTTCAAACTGGCGATTTCATGCTCTGCTCGGATGTTTACATGCGTGCGGGGGATTCCAGCAGCGAACGGTGATGAAAGCTCTTTCGAAATGCAAGTAAGATACGTCGTAGAAAGACTGCGTGCATGTTTTTTTTAAGCGACATTTTTCACAGCATGCGTATGCCGTTTATTGCAGGCAAAAAAGACAGGTTGAAGTAGCATAACCGCGCGACAGCGATGTCCCCCCCCCCCCCCCCGCTTGTCCAGTAATCACCACGACTGAGAGCGCCGAGTCCAACAGTGTCACCAACTAAAGATCTCTCGAAAGCATACACCACTTTTCAGTTAAATCAAGATAGCTCTTGATGGCCGATCATTATTCATCGAGCCTCGTGCAAACTTTGCGAGAAGTTAGTAATCACACGATTCGAAAGAGAAATCACAGCGCAAAATGCGCAACCGATTGTCCTCACTTGGCAGCACGAAGAACCTCAGCGGCTCCTGAGAGCCTTCCGACGTGGTAACATCACCATTGCGTGGTCTAGGCATTGCCTATATAAGATGTGAAGAAAATTCAAACGCAGAAAACACAACCGCGCTGACGGCTCTGCATTTAGCGAGAGCAATCAGTTAAATGCGTGCCGTTCTCACGATCGCGCACGCACCATTTCCGCGGGAAAGCGGAATACCAGTGTTGCCTGTTCTCAACTTGGCTTTTCAACCGAAGTCGAAACTAAATATAGACAAAGTCTTTGCGTTTTGTCAAAAAGATAAAAAAAAAGACCTTTTGGGATTTTTTGTGTAATTCTCCAAGACGACTTGAAGGCGAAAACCATCCCAGTTTAGCCGGGATACTACTTCTTCACCCCCTTTTGTACACCCATCACACCCATCTGAAAGCTTCCGGGGCCTAACGTGGTTTAGCGCTGCCTCCAGGATCGGAGGCGTTGCAAGCTTTCTGCGCATCACCTGGTTTTTTTTAGCGAAAGCTGTTACGAGATCACAACAAACGTTGCTGTCCAACGCCGCCACCAGTATCCGTAACCACTATCACACGAAATAAGAAGAAAATAAATGAATGAAACCCACCGAGGAACAACTGGGATTCAAACCCCGGTATACCTACATGCGTGCCAGACCAGTATTCTATCACTGAGCTACGCCGGTGTTTGAACCACCGCAGCAAAGTGATCCAAGGTAAGGTTCATATGTCGAGAAAGGAATCGCACTAAGGTGCGTAATGAAGCGTTTCAGAACAGCAAAGGCAACCTGTCGTCACACAATTAAATTGCGTCGAATGCTCCGACTCCCTAACAATAGCATTAGGCATTATTCTTCATCATTAGCAGCTGCAGCATCAAAAAACTGCACAAAACTCCTTTCATGTAGCGGGTACCACGCCTGTCCAAATAATGGCTACTACACAAAAATATTTGGCAGCGTCTTCTGCGTAGCGCGGCGCAGCAGGCAGACCACACAGAAGTGGCTCCTGCGTCGCAGGAAATTGACGTCGCTTAAAAAAAAATAATACCTAAACCTGTTTATTTGTATAAATTTTCAATGTATAATGCGTTAAACCTACAAAAATTTTACTAAGAAGGTGTTTTAAGAGTCAATCAGTCTACATTTTTTATGGCAGCGTCTCCTCCGCCGCGCGGCTCCGCAGCTAGACCCACACAGAAGTGGCTCATGCGCCGCACGAAAGTGACGTCACTTTACAAATTACTTCCCAAAGCTATTTAAATGTATAAACTATTAATGTATAATACGTTAAACCTACAAAAATTTCATTAAGCAGTTTTTTGACGAGTCGATTAGCTTATTATATAGGTTTACGCAAAAGGTAACAGCTATTAAAAGCTTGACTGATATCAGCGCAGGTAGAAAAGTTGCCGGTAGTGCCCATTGAGAATTCTGCATTTCAATTTAGCGTGTGGTCTCATTGCATGTAGATCACTATTTCTTCCACAAATTGCTGCCAGTAGCTCATATAATAATCACGTTAGCATTATGTTCGATATTATGTTAAGGTATAATTTAATGCAGGTAGTCCATGAACCAACACGTGTAATCTAGCTCTGTGTTAAACCTGGCGTTCATCAGTCGTGATTTTTCTGATTGCACTATAGAAGTGGAGCCAGGGCTCTCTGATCACCATCTCGTAAGCATATTATTACCGCTTCAACCATTTAAAAAGTATAAACACGTCCCTGCACGTTCTTTTAAGGACTTCTCTCATGCCGATGACCCAAGCATTGTCAATTACTTGCAAAACTGTCTCATTGATTTCGAGGGCAACAACACTCAATTACTTGGGAACAAGTTCAAAGACATGTGTCGCTATTGCCTGGATAATTTCGTCCCTAATAAACTGAAGAAAGTTAAAGAGGAAACGCCTTAGATGAATCGGAAAATCATTCAACTAAAACGCAGGATAAAGAGATATAAAAAGAAACATGTGCAGAATGACAAAATAAGGCAGATGCGAGATGACCTCGCTCATGCACTTCTCGCAGCAATAGATTATTACTTTGAAATATCACTTCCTAACTTAATAAAAAATGAGCCTGATAAGATTTGGCACTACATAAAAGATAGCAAGAAACCAGTTACTCAAATATCAGTTGACGGGAAGCCGGTGACAGATAAGAGTGAGATTGCTCAACACTTCAACTATTTTCAAGAAGTATTCTCCAGCGCAACTGTATGCGCGTGTGACGGCACATTCTCCAAACAATTAGATATGAGTTTTGTATCGTATGCTGGGGTATTTAATATGCTTCTTAACTTGAAAACTAAGAGTTCTTCTGGTCCCGACGAAATACGTAACATATTTCTCAAACGATATGCCGAGCTTCTTGCAAACTTTCTTGTAATCTTGTTTCGTGTCTCAGTCATCACTGCACAACTGTCTATTGACTGGAAGACAGCCCGGGTTGTTCCCGTGTTCAAGAAAGGTGACAGGACACTTAAACAAAATTATCGTCCTATTTCACTGACATCCCGATGCTGCAAACTTGTGGGACATATTATAGCCAAATGTGTTCGTGAATTTCTAGAAAATAATGCTGCACTAACAGAACATCAGCATGGCTTTCGAAAAGGGTGTTCAACAATAACCCAACTAATAACAGTAGTTCACTCGTTCGCTTCACTCCTTGATTCTATAATGACCAAGTAGATGTAATGTTTCTTGATTTTAGCAAAGCTTTTGACAAAGTTCCCCACAATAAACTAATCATAAGGCTTAGAATTCTTAGCGTCCCTGAACACTTCATCAGATGGATTTCTGCTTACCTGACTAACAGGAAGCAATATATTGACATTGGAGGTGAACGTTCTGAAAGTTTCGCAGTCACGTCAGTGGTGCCACAAGGCAGTGTCCTAGGCCCCCTGCTTTTCTTGGTTTATATTAATGATATTGTTAGCGCAGTAAGCACTGGTGTTCAAATTCGATTATTTGCAGACGACTGCGCATTCTTCAAAGAAATTTTTCGTCTTGATGATCAGGTTGAGGTAAATAGCAATTTAAATAACGTATTGTAGTGGTGCGATAAATGCGGCATGGTTTTGAACGCCGATAAAACCGTACTGCTCCCTATAACGCGTAAAAAAGCAGCCCTGTCTTTTACTTACCAGCTTGGTTCTTCACCACTTAGGCAAGTCGATAGCTATAAATACTTAGTTGTTGCAATAACAACTACCTTATCGTGGAATAAACATATTATGAAGTCTTGGTAATCTTGGCTGCGTGTGCGTTTATTTGAGGAAAGACCTCGCAAAACGAACGGGCAGAGCCAGTACACAGACGATGATGATGACCCAGAGTGGCAATGAGGACAAAGAGACAAGCTGATGATGGTGATTGCAATCATGCAAAGATAATGACGATGTAAGTAACAAATGCCCACACTAATTCCCTCCACTTGGAAGCAGACACCCTGGCCGCCGTAAGTCAAAGTGACGGGGAACGTCGCGTGAAAGGTTTCATGCGACAAACGTGGACAATCTCTGTGCTGCGGTAGCGGTGGTCTGTTGGGGCGACGAGTGGTGTGACACAATAATTAACTGCCGAAGTCTCTTCTAAAACAATGTATGGCCCGATGAAACGTGGTTGGAATTTGTCATAAAGACCAGGAGTGCGAATAGGTGTCAAAAGCACCAACTCGTCACCAGTTTGGAACGACACAACGTGGTGGGATTCATCATAGATGATCTTCCGCTCGTGCTGTCTCGTTTCAGTATTGATGTGACCCTGATGGCGAGACTGGGCCAGGCGAGAAATGTATTCTTCGCTAGAGGACTGACATGAATTCCCATGGCTGTTAAAGAAGGAGACGTCGAGAAAGGTAGTCGGGGTGCGTCCGTACACGAGGTAAAACGGTGAGTAGCAAGTTGTTCGCTGAGCGGCGGTGTTGTAAGCGAATATCAGGAACAGTAAAATAGTATCCCAGTTTTTGTGGTCGGGTTGGACGTAAACGGCTATCATGTCAGCAAGGGTTCGGTGAAATCTTTCTGCGAAACCATTTGTCTGAGGGTGGTAGCTTGAAGCTGTCTTGTGAGTAGTTCCAAAAGCGCGCAGTACTTCATTTACCATTTGTGACAGGAACACTTTGCCGTGGTCACTAAGCAGTACACGAGGAGCCCTATGACGCAGTATTATTGCGTGAAGAATAAAGTCTGCAACTTCCACAGCTGAGCCTGTAATAACAGAAGAAGTCTCAGCGTAGCGTGTCAGGTGGTCCACGGCGGTCACTATCCATCGTTTGCCAGCAGATGCGACGGGGAGAGGCCCGTAAAGGTCAACATCTACAACCTCGAACGGCATTGAAGGGCACGGAAGTGGCTGTAGAGGTCCAGCAGGGGCAGACGTGGGGAGTTTACGACGCTGGCATGGGTAGCAGGAGCCGACGTACCGCGCTACACTAGAAGAAAGGCCAGGCCAGTAATAACGACATCGAATGCGGTCAAGAGTTTTTTTTAAACCAAGATGACCAGCAGTCAAGTCGTCGTGGAAGGCTTCGAGAACCTGAAGTCGAAGAGAGCGTGGCATTACAGGAACCCAGCGCTGATCATCAGGGGGTGATAGACGTGGTGGTAGAGAACCCCATTGTCCAGCTTAAAGGGCAGGAGTTGACGACGGAGCCGCGCGTTGGGTGGATGAGAAACTCCCGAAAGGTGGTCCATCATGCGTCTGCAGTATGAATCGGACCGTTGGTGGGAGATAAATGTTGGCTCGTCGTCCGAAGAGGGTTGCCTTATTGTTGCGAGCGTATGAACTCTGGTAGATGTGGCGGTTGAGTTCTCACCAACGCTGATATGGGTAGTTGGAAGCGGGCAACGAGATAAAGCGTTGGCGTCTTGATGTTTTCTGCCTGACTTGTAAGTTATGTCAAAGTCGTACTCCTGCAAGCGTAGTATCCACCAACCCAAGCATCCGGACAAGTTCTTCAGTGTAGAAAGCCAGCATAAGGCATGGTGGTCCGTAACGATTGTGAAGTGACGGCCGTGAAGATAGGGACGGAACTTGTGGACCGACCAAACCACAGCCAAACACTCTTGCTCTGTTATAGTGTAGTTCTTTTCGGCAGGGGTGAGTACGCGACAGGCACATGCAGCAACTTTCTCTAGGGAAGACTTGTCGCGTTGTAGAAGAACGGCTCCTAT